AAAAGAGGAACGGAGGCTTCTTGTTGAAGGAATGCAGCCATTCTGCTTGTTTGACTATTTCCTTTACATGAACCTCTATTTCCCAGGAGGTGCTTCTCCAAGTGCAATGGGAGGTATTGGTGACCGCACATACCCCTCAGTGTTCTGCTAGTAAATAGTTTAAGGTTGATCAGTGATCTCCTGCTTTTTCAGTCTGGCTTGTACTGAAAAGGTAATTGGTGACGGTATCAGTGAGCACCAGGAGGTATGGAAATCCTCCAGGAGCCGCAGGCGTCACATTGAAGTCCATTTGCCAGTATTCCCTGGCATGGTTCTTCTGAATTGTACTGCCTTGGCCAAAAGAGATATGGGAGGGGCTGGAGACAGTGGCTCATACCTTTAATCCCAGCACTTTGAGAGGCCAGGATGGGTGGATCATTTGAGGTCAGGAGTTCAATACCAGCCTGGCCAACATGGTAAAACCTCATCTCTATTAAAGTACAAAAATTAGACAAGTGTGATGGACATGTGCCTGTAATCCCAGCTATTCAGGAGGCACTGACGTGAGAATCACTTGAGCCCAGGAGGTGGAATTTGCAGTGAGCCGAGATGGCACCACTGTATTCCAGCCTGGGGGAGTAGGGGGAGGGAGAGAGAGAGAGAGAGAGAGAGAGAGAGAGAGAGAGAGAGACAGAGACAGAGACAGAGACAGAGACCCTGTCTCAAAGAAAAAAAAGAGGTATGGGCGGTCTGGCTGGAGCATTGATATTCTGATGATAGACACAGCGGTCAGCCATTTTATCTATTACATTGTTTCCTTTCATCATGGGGTCCTTATAATGCCAACGTGCAAGCTGCGTCCCGCCTCCTTCCCTTAGTGTAATAAGTCATGGACATCTTTTACAATAACCCAGTTCACATTTGCAGGCACTCATATCCTGCCTCTTCTATTTAGGGCCACCTTACGGAACTCAGGTGATACCTATCTCCAGTGGCTTTTAAAATCCCCCAGGCAGGGGCAGGTGCAGTGGCTCACACCTATAATCCCAACACTTTGGGAGACTGAGGTGGGTGGGTCACTTGAGGTCATGAGTTCAAGACCAGCCTGGCCAACATGGTGACACCCATCTTTACTAAAAATCCAAAAAATTATCCAGGTGTAGTGGCAGGCGCCTGTAATCCCAGCTACTTGAGAGTTCGAGGCAGGAGAATCACTTGAACTTGGGAGGCAGCCATTACAGTGAGCTGAGATTACCCCATCCCACTCCAGCCTGGGGAACAAGAGTGAAACTTTGTCTCAAAAAAGAAAAAAAAATTCCTCAGGGGAGTACCTCGGCTTATTTTATAAAGAGCTACTGAAGGAAGCAGACACATTTGGAGGACTTCCCCACCCGTGCGGCTGTCTTGGCCATGGCTTCTGAAATTTGCTATTTCAGAGTCACCCCGCTGATGACCTTGGCAATGGACTACAGTAAACTGTTTAGGCCTTTCCGTGGCCCAAATCAGTGCCAGTATTTCTGTTGCACATTCAATTCCATGTTATTTGCATTTAGAAGGCTTCTCTATTTTTCTTTTTCTTTTTTTTGAGACAGAATTTTGCCCTTGTTGCCCAGTCTGGAGTCCAACGGCACAATCGTGGTTCACGGCAACCTTCGCCTCCCAGATTCTAGGGATTCTCCTGCTAAACCTCCCAAGTAGCTGGGTTGACACCACACCCAGCTTATTTTGTATTTTTAGTAGAGATTGGATTTCTCCACGTTGGTCAGGCTGGTCTCAAACTCCCAACCTCTGGTGATCGGTCCTACTCAGGCTCCCAAAGTGCTGGGATTATAGGCATGCGGTCCCCTTTATTCCAGATCGCCCCATGGGCATGGACCACAGAGATTGCATCTTGTGAGTCTGCAGAAACAGTGAAGGCCTTGTCCTGTCTTAGATCCAGGGCTCGGGTTCATGCAGATTTTCCCGGCCCTCTGTGCTGAAGTCCCTGTGGGAGGCTCTGGGCTGCTTTCCTGTAGGTAGAGAACTTCACGTCCTGCCCTTCACTGGCCTCTTTTCCTGAAGCTCCTGCCGTCTACAGACCATGGCTTCCTTTTCTTCCTCAACCACGTCTGTGTTATTAAAACTCTGGAAGTCAGCTGGGCGCGGTGGCTCATGCCTCTAATCCCAGCATTTTGGGAGGTCAAGGTAGACGGATCACTTAAAGTCTAAAGTTTGGAGACCAGCCTGGCCAACATGGTGAAACCCTGTCTGTAATATTTACAAAAATTAGTCGGGCATCCAGAGGGGCGCAGATAGTCCCAGCTACTCGGGAGGCTAAGGCAGGATAATCGCTTGAACCCGGGAGGCCGAGGTTGCAGTAAGCTGAGATCACACCACTGTACTCCACCCTGGGCAAGAGAGTGAGACTCTGTCTCTACAAACCAAAACAAAACAAAACTCTAACTTGGGATTAGCCTTCTCTTATAATTTTTAAAAAAATATTAAGAAAAAAATAGACGTAGATGCTCTGTTGCCCAGGCTGGTCTTAAACCCCTGGCCTCAAGTGGTCCTCCCTCCGTAACCTCCAAAAGTGCTGGGTTATAGGTGTGAGCACTGTTTCCAGACTTACGTTGTTTCTCTATTAAAAAAAAAAATACAGAATTATCTTCAAGAGCCAATAAATATGTTCAAATAACCAAAACCTCATTAAGGAAAAATGTCACTTGACAGCAAATAAGCAATCCAGACCAATCTGATCGCACTCACTGTGAAGGCTGAGAAAACTTCATGTTTATTACGTTTTCCAAGAGATGCACTGTTCCCTTGAAAACACACGGCTCGTGGCCTCCTTCAAAACACACATCCTCTTCAAAGTACCTTACAGACAAGTCAATAGAAAGTAAAAAATTACATCTGAATTCTCACATTTCAAATCATACACTAAACATCAAATCCAAATTTATTTTTACAAGAATTTAGGGGGAACTACCACTTAGCTATACAGGTAATAGAGATATTAAGTAAGTATCATAGATAAAAAGAGGGCTCGCTTCAGGAGCACGCGTAATAACATACAAAGGTTGACAGATAAAAGCTTTAGGATAGAATCCTCTCTTAGAAAGGAAAACAAAATTATATTTATATACATAATGGCTATATCACCCATCATACAACTTTATGGAAATTCATAAACAGTATTTCCAAACTCTTTAAATAAATGTAGTAATAATTCCATGCCCATCTTTTTCAAAATAAACCAATAAAATGTATAGCATATATTAAATATATTACTGTATATCTAAGACATGTTAAAAATCACAAGTGAATTCTCACAATTCAGTAACAAACACTAAACAGGAAATAAAAATTTCTATTAGAAGATTTACTGGAACTACTACATAGCTATAAATATAATAGATTATCATGTAAGTATCATAGATAAAGAGTGCTCGCTTCAGGAGCACATATCATAATAGATAAAACAATTTAAAGATAATAAAAGATGTAGGATAAAACAAATTATTTCTTAAAATGAAAAGAAAATTAATATATATATATATATATATATATATATATATATATATATATAAACAGCTATAGCTCTCATCCAAAACTCCACAGGAACGGCATGTTTTCAAAAGTACAGCAGTTTCCAAACTATTTGAAGTAAACATATTAATAATTTGATGGCCAAAAAACCACAAACATGCATAGCATGCATGAAGCTATCTGTTACAATCCTACGGCACTCATATTTCACAAATAATTCTGTGCCAATCTGAGCGCCTGCACTGTGCCTTCAAATGCTCCTGGACTATGGCATCCAAGCCCGTAGGAAACAAGACCTCCAGGTTCCTCCCAGAGAGCCTGGAACTCAGCAACATAAAAAGGCAGGTGGTGCCACAGGAATGGGTGGAACCAGAAACACCCCTGGTTTCTCACTGTCCTCCGCAGACTCCTAGAAGTACTGTCTCCCCGCCTCTCCACCCCTAGGAGGACAACGTGATCACTCTATTGAGCTCCTTCTAGAACAGTCCAGGTTATTCTAGATGATCTGCACCAATGGCTGCTCTCCTCCTTCCTGGTGTCTGTCTGCCATTAGCATGGGAATAAACTTCGTGCTGAAAATCCGCATCTCCCCTGGGCCCGGTGTTCTGGAAGTGAGAGAGAGGATGTCAGGCTTCAGGGAGGCAGTTCCCTAGGAAGGTCATTCACATCCCACATCTATTCTACCTAGAGTTCAGAGCAAGTGCTCAATCCAGTTTCATCTCCTGCCCTTCATTCTCTAGCCTGCTTCTGAACTGTGGTTTTCAATTGTGATTTGGTGACCCTGACTCCAAAACTCACTTAATACACCCAAGGCCATCCCCAGTGATCTGCCTCCTAGCCAGGACTTGGTGTGGGTCTGCCCAGGGATACAGCACCCTCAGACAATGTGGCTTTAGACTTCATCACATGTGGGGCCTTTCGTGTCACTTAAGATCTAAACTGGTAACCACACTAGATACATTTCTAATGCGACACATCACGAAACCATGAGTCCCAGAGCCTAATCCATAATCCTACTTCCTAATGTTTAAGTCTCATGCCTGAGTCCTCAACGTGGTTAGCTGCACAAGATGTAAACCAAATCTTCACTGAATCCTCCACCCAAATAGGTAATCCAAGTGCGTCAATCCTAGAGAACCTTCCGGAACGCAGTATTTATGATGAATTTTGAGACAGGGTCTCACTGTATAGACCAGGCTGCAGTACAGTGGCAGGATCGGGGCTCCCTGACACTCCAGTGTCCCAGGCTCCAGCGATCCTCCCTCCTCAGCCTCCGGAGTAGTTGGGAATAGAGATGCCTCCTACCTTGCCCAGCTAATTTGTGTATTTATGTGGAGAGGGAATCTCACCATGTTGCCCGGGCTTGAAGCCGGGTCAAGCAATTGGCTTCCTTGAATTTCCTAAATAGACTCAATACCCTGCCTTGACCCCGGGGGACGCAGACATACCTTCCCTCAGGCCGATGACCTCAGGCCTCCACGGTCCCTGGAGCTCTAGGAAAGGAGGGCACGATTTCGTGCCCACACCCAGTGCTCTGGGTCATAAGCCTGGATCTGCAAAACCAAATGCCCCTTGAGAAGACGGGGACTCCCCAGGATACCCCTCCGTCCCCTCATCCAGCCTCCAACCACCTGATTCCTTCCCACCTCCTCCACCTCCCCACACCCCACCCACCTCCTCCAGCTCTTCCGGGGAAACCCAAGCCCTGCAGTGCATGGAACAGAAGAACTGGAAGCGAAGCTTCTGGAACAAGGGTCGCTGGAAGCGGTTGTTCTTCCCATACAGGAAGTAGAAGATGGCTTGTTTGGGGTCCTCGTCGTCCTCCTCCATGTCATTGGCCAGGTAACTGGGGGCAGAAATCAGGCTGCTGCTCAGGGGCACCACCAGGAGAGACCTCCGGCTGAGGTCAGCTTCCCAGAGAGGAGGGCGGGGGACTGTCCTCAGCTCAGGACTGGCACCCACCCTGCAGAGAGCCATGCCTTCCTCAGGAGGGCCCTGCTGGACAGAGGCCTGCTGAAGGGTGCCCCTCACACCTTCAGGATGGAGACCAAAAGCCATCTGGTGGCTGAGAGTGGTGGCTCAGGCCTGGAATCCCAGCACTTCGGGAGGCTGAAGTGGGTGGATGACTTGAGGCTAGGAGTTTGAGACCAACCTGTTCAACATGGCGAAACCCCATCTCTACTAAAAATACAAAAAACCCCTGGTGTGGTGGCACACACCTTAGTCCTAGCTACTCCAGAGGCTGAGGCACAAGAATTACATGAACCCAGGAGACTGAGGTTGTAATGAGGTCCGCTGCATCTAGCCTGGCAAACAGAGCAATACACTGTCTCAAAACAAATAAATAAATAGGATGGGCACAGTGGCTAACGCCTGTAATCCCAGCAATTTGGGAGGCCAAGGCGGGTGGATCACCAGGTCAGACGATTGAGGCAATCCTGGTTAACACAGTGAAACATGGTCTCTACTAAAAATACAAAACATTCGCAGGGTCTGGTGGCATGGGCCTGTAGTCCCAGCTACTCAGAAAGTGGAGGCGGGAGAATCGCTTGAATCAGGGAGGCAGAAGTTGCAGTGAGCCGAGTTGATGCCATTGCACTCCAGCCTGGTTGACAGAGCGAGGCTCCATCTAAAAAAAAAATTAAAAATATAAATAAAATTTAATAAATATGTAAGTAATTGTCCAGGTGTGATAGCACAGCCCTATAGTGTGAGCTAATCAGGAGGCTGAGGTGGGAGGATCACTTGAGCCCAAGAGATGGAGGCTGCAGTGAGCTATGATCTCACCACTGCACTCCAGCTTGGGAGACAGAGTGAGTCTCTGTCACAAAAAAAAATAAAATAAATAGAATACATTGATATTTTTCCAAGATCCTGCCTTCTACAGGCATCTAGTCTAATGGGACTGGGAGAAACCAGGGAGGATGACCTCATCCCAATGTCACATTATTATAGGATGTCACTGGCCAGCTGTGGGCGTGCAGAGGTGGGAAGATGAGAGAAGGCATCACAGAGCCTGTGGGGTAAACTGACGGCAAGGAATGGGTGCTTCCCTTCAGAACCACATGCGTGCAGGACCCCAGACAGAAAACACAGACGCAAAGTCGGGTGATGGGCATTTAGAACGAGCGGTGAAACCAAGCCAGGAAACACCAGGATGGCAAGCTGGTTTGGCTGCCGAGAGATGGTAGAGACGGTGGAATTGGCACTGTGGACCTGGCCTCGATTTCAAGTGACATCAGCTAAGGAAGCTGTTCAGGTGGGCAGTCGGGGGTGGGACCTGTGCTTTGGAGAGATGTTCAGTCTGCACTAGGAAGCCCCCTGGCTTGGGGAGAGGCTCCAGGAGGCCCCAGCACGGAGCATTTGGCAGTGGATTGGAGTGAAGCGAGGGGGCCTGAACTGTGGCCTCTGTCATGGAAACCCGGAGGAGGACGATGACCGTTGCATTTGGGGTTGATGTGGGAAGGAGAGAGACAGAAGAACCAGAAGTGGCTGTGGCTGGGGAGGCGTCATGTCTGTTCCTTTTCCTCTCCCCTTAGGAGGGGTGGATGGTTCCTTTGGTTTTATTCTCTTATTTTTATACTGGCGTTTGAGTTTGGTTTTGCTTTTTCATGTGAGGGTGGAGTTCAGTGGCTTAATTAATCATAGCTCACTGCAACCTCTGCCTCCTTGGTTCCAGAGGATCTCCTGCCTCAGCCTCCTAAGTAGCTGGGATTACAGGTTCACACCAGCAGGCCCAGCTAATTTTCTTTTCTTTTCTTTTCTTTTTTTTTTTTGAGACATAGTCTTGCTCTGTTACCCAGGCAGGAGTGCAATGGCGTAATCTTGGCTCATTGCAACCTTTGCCTCCTAGGCTCAAGCAATTCTCCTGCCTCAGCCTCCTGAGTAGCTGAGATTACAGGCACATGCCACCACACTTGGCAAATGTTTGTATTTTTTGTATAAGCGAGGCTGGTCTCGAACTCCTGACTTTGGGTGATCTGCCTGTCTTGGCCTCCCAAAGTGCTGGAATTACAGGTGTGAGCTACCGCACCTGGCCTGAGTTTGTTTTTAGAAGGAACATCTAAGAACGCCATTGTATAATCTTGTCTTGTTGATACACAGAGTAAAGAGGACAAAGAGGTGAAAGAATAAATGAGAGGCTGGAATCCGATGTTCCCTGCTGTCCCAGGGTGTTGGATATTGACGGACAGGAGGGAGCAAAGCACTCACAGAGCCAGGAAGAAGTGAATGCGTTGGTACTGCCAGGAGAAGAGGCCGGCGCGGCTAAAATACGCTATGACCATGGCCAGCAGGTACTGATGGAGAGAAAGGAACACGGAGAGGGAGAGGTCACATCTTGGAAGAGGAAGATCGTGCAGATGGGGGAATGGGAGCAGAGGAGGGGTTGCCCATCAGAGAAGGGACCTCAGGCGTTGGGGTGACTGTGCTCGCTGGGAAATGGTGAGGTGGAGGGTATTAGAAGGTCGGATGCAAATCTGAGAAGCTGGAGGAAGGGATGTCGGTGATGCTCCCAGGATGCTGAGCTCCCATGGGACCTTTGCAGGGAGTGTGTCTAGGTTGGCTGACGTCAGGAGGGTCTTGTGTGTGCCAGGCAGAGAACTGTCCCAAGGAGCTGAGAGTAGAGGGGCCAGGAGCTTCAGGGCTGCGGCCAGACCGCGGCCCAGGGCTCAGGTCCCTAAGGACCCCTAGGAGAGGCAGGGGCCGCTCACTCACTCTGCAAGAAACCAGCAGAGTCCCGAGGGAGATGCTGACAAATCATAAAAAGACCAAGAATAGCTGAGAGTGGCGGCTCCAGCCTGTGAGAGGCGGAGACAGGAGGATCACGTGAACCCAGATCGGAGAACAGCCTGGGCAACACAGCGAGACCCTCTTCCTCCAAAAATTACAGAAATCAGTCGAGCGTGGTGGCATGTGCCTGCAGTTCTAGCTACTCAGGAGGCTGAGGCAGGAGAATTGCTTGAACCCAGGAATTGGGTTCTGTAATAAAATACAGGCCACTGTATTTTATCCTAGGAAGCAGAGCTAGACTCTGTCAAAACAAACAAACAAACAAACAAAAAACCAACAACCAAAAAATCCTGGGCTGGCGCCAACACTCAAGACAGTGGGAGCTGGCTGGGCACAGTGGCTCATGACTGTAGTAACAGTGCTTTGGGAGGCCAAGGCGGATTGATCACGTGTGGTCAGGTGTTCAAGACCAGTGTGGCCAACATGGCAAAACCCTGCCTCTACAAAAAACACAAAAATTAGCCAGGCATGGTGGTGCACGCCTGCGATCCCAGCTACTTGGGAGGCTAAGGCAGGAGAATCGCTTGAACCCTGGAGGGGGAGGCTGCATTGAGCTGAGATTGGGACGCTGCCCTGAGCCTGGGCAACAGAGCAAAACTCTGTCTTAGAATAAAATAAGACTGTGGAGCGTCAGGTGGGAGCTGGTGGAGGGAGCGGGGACGGGAACTGCGGGTGGGGAAGCTGTGCCCCCCCCAGGCTGTGTGTTGGAGCAGGAACACAGTTTCCGTGGAGAACGACCTTACCTTGTCAGATACCCTCAGATCTTTGTCCCAGGCCAGGAATCTTTTCACGACAGGATCCTCTGTGATTAGAGAGCAGATGTTAGTGTGAGAAGCGGAACAGTTTCCATGGGAGAAACGGGGCAGCCAGGAGAACTGTGCCTCCCTGGGGAAAGTCTCAGGATGGTGGCTGCGGGTGAGGTGGATGGGAGAGGAGAGAATGACTTTGACTGGGCAAGGGAGGGAGGCTCCCGCTCTGAGACTGCCCTGAGAAGAGGCTGAAGGAGGCCCTGGGTGTGAGAATCTAGCGGCTGGAGAGCTGGGAAGAAGCAGGATGCCCTCCCCACAGACACGCAGGGACCACTGCAGCGTCATAAAGTGATGCCCATCGGTTCCTGAGACAGTCACATCAGGGTGTGACCATGGCCTTGGTGTCCCCCTCTAGGGATGGAGATACTTAGGTTCAGAAAAGTCAGCAAGAGATACTACATTTCTGAGGGCACAACTGAAACTGCTTTTTTGTTTTTTGATTTTGTTTTTCTTTATTCTTTTATTTATTTCTTTATTTGATACAGTGTCTCGCACTGTTGCTAAGATGGAGTTCAGTGGTGCAATCTCGGCTCACTGCAACCTCACCCTCCCGGGTTCAACCGATTCTCCTGTCTCAGCCTCCTGGATAGCTGGGATTACAGGCATGTGCCACCACACCAGGCTGAGTTTTGTATTTTTAGTAGAGACGGGGTTTCACTATGTTGGTCAGGCTGAACTCCTGACCTCCTCAAACTCCTGACCTCAATAGATCCACCTGCCTTGGCCTCCCAAAATGCTGGCATCACAGACATGAACTACTGCCCCTGGACTTGGTTTTCCTTCTTTGACAGGGTTTTGTTCTGTCACCCAGGCTAGAGTGCAGTGGTGCAGTCACAGCTCAGTGCAGCCTCAAAGCCCTGAGTTCAAGCGGTCCTCCTGCCTCAGCCTTTCAACCTCCTGGGATCTCAGGCATGAGCCTGGCCTGGAACCAAGCTTTCTTACCCCAATCGCAGACTTTGATCAAGTCTAGCTGAATCGTCTATGGCCTCCTAAGTCCCTCCTGAGTGATCACTTCTGAGTCCTCCTGCATGGAGAGCTCACCCACTGGGGAAGCATGTATTTCCCATGGGAAAAGTACGGTTATGGGAAGTTTCCTCTCTTTTTTTTTTTTTTGAGACGGAGTTTCGCTCTTGTTACCCAGGCTGGAGTGCAACGGCGCGATCTCGGCTCACCGCAACCTCCGCCTCCTGGGTTCCGGCAATTCTCCTGCCTCAGCCTCCTGAGTAGCTGGGATTACAGGCACGCGCCACCATGCCCAGCTAATTTTTTGTATTTTTAGTAGAGACGGGGTTTCACCATGTTGACCAGGATGGTCTCGATCTCTTGACCTCGTGATCCACCCGCCTCGGCCTCCCAAAGTGCTGGGATTACAGGCGTGAGCCACCGCGCCCTGCCGGAAGTTTCCCCTTTTTTAAGAACTAGGATTGGAGGTGCTCTCTGGGGTGTCCTCCTACCAAGCAGCCTGTTGAAGGCCTGGTGGTGCTCAGGGAGCACGGGTGACACTCGCCGTCGCTTCAGTTTCACCTTGAGCCCCTGAAGCGTCTCCAGCACCCAGGTCTCCTCAGGCTCAGGGGTGCGCTCCTTCTCTGGCTCCTCCTCGGTCTCCTCCTCAGATTCGTCCGACCACTCCCTCTTCCTTTTCCGGCAAAGGAACCAAGGCGAACTGGGACCTTCCCAAGGAGATGAGTAAAGAAGGCAGGCCACCGTGTAATGCTTCTGCAATTGATCACCTTAGACCCTGACCCGAAACCCCAAAGCACTCTCCACCCTCCCCAGCCCCGCAGACGGTTGGCTTCTCCCTTGCTGAACCCCATGTGCCTCTCCGCCTCCTCCCCGTTCTTCCACCTGTCTGTCCTCAGAACGCCTCCTCACTTCCTTCCCTGGTCCCTGGCTCTCTGAGCCCCTCTTTTTTATTTTGAGACTGTCTTGCTTTGCCACCCAGGCTGGATTGCCGATTGTTGTGGTGCAATCTCGGCTCGCTGCAACCTCCGTCTTCTGGGTTCTAGTGATTCTCCTGCCTCAGCCTCCCAAGTAGCTGGGATTACAGGTGCCCACCATACACCTGGCTCATTTTTGTACTTTTAGCAAAGACGGGGTTTTGCCATGTTGGCCAGGCTGGTCTCCAGTGATCCTCCTGCCTTGGCTTCCCGAAGTCCTGGGGTTACAGGTATGAGCCACTGCACCCGGCCCGAGTCCCTCCTTTCTTCCCCCACACACTCCCTCAGCTGCTCCTTCCTGACTTCTGGGTCTTTCTTTCTCTCTTTCTTCCTTTCTTCTTCTTTTCTTTCTTTCTTTCTTTTCTTTTTTTTTTTTTTTGAGACAGGGTCCCACTCTCTCACCCAGACGGGAATGCAGAGACGCATTCTCAGTTCACCGTAACCCCCGCTTCCCAGGCTCAATAATTCTCCTGCCTCAGGCTTCCAAGTAGCTAGGATTACGGGCATGCACCACTACTGCCTGGGCAATTTTTGTTATTTTAGTAGAGGGAGGGTTTCGCCAGTTTGGCAGTCTCATCTCGAACTCTTGACCTCAGGTGATCCAACTGCCTTGAACTCCCAAAATGCTGGGATTACAGGCATAAGCCACCGTGCCTGGCCCCCTCTCTTCTTGGTCAGTCCTCTCCCATCTCTCCTTCCTCCAGTCCCCTCGCCTGATGGTCCCAGCACTTCGTTGCCCACCACCTCCAGGAGGAGCACCCCGAGGTGCCAGGCTGCGGGCTCCACTCCTTAACCTGGGGCTGAGGTGGACAGCCAGCCGAGATCTCTCCCGAACTCTGTTCCCTCCCACGAAACCTGGTCCCTGTTCTGTCCAAAGCCTTCATCCAGACTCTACTGGGACCCAGAGGAGTACGTTCTCTAGTCTCAAGGCTGGGGAGAAGTTGGGCGTGGAGAACAGCTCTGAGAAGATGCTGTTGTCCACCTGAGCTCCCAAGTGCCCTACGGAGTTCCGTCCTTCCAATCAGGAAGGTTGGAATTGCAGATGTCTTTGGTCGTTCCAACCTGGGAAACAGTTTGAAGAGAAACATAGAGGTGAGGCACGGTGGCTCACACCTGTCATCCCAGCACTTTGGGAAGCCGAGGCAGGCAGATCATGAGGTCAGGAGTTGGAGACCATCCTGGCTAACACGGTGAAACCTCATCTCTACTAAAAATACAAAAATTTAGCCAGGCGTGGTGGTGCTGGCCTGTAATCCAAGCCATTCGAGAGACTGAGGCAGGAGAATCACTTCAACCTGGCAGGCAGAGGTTGCAGTGAGCCGAGATTGCGCCATTGCACTCCAGCCTGGGCGATAGGGCAGTCACCTTCTCAAATGAATGAATGAATGAATAAATAAATGAGAAAAGTCAGCAAGGGACATTAAGTTTCAGACAGGACAGCTAAACCGCTTTCTTTGTTTTTTTTTACTTTGTTTTTCTTTCTTTCATTGTTACTGATTTTTTGGAGACAGACCCTCACACTGCCGCTCAGGGTAGAATGCAGTGGTGCGATCTCGGCTCACTTGCAACCTCTGCCTCCTGAGCTCAAGTGATTCTCTTGTCTCAGCCTCCTGAGTAGCTGGGATCACAGGCGTGCACCACCATGCCCATCTAATTTTGTATTTTCAGTAGGGACGGTGTTTCACCATGGTAGTCAGTCTGGTCTTGAACTCCTGACCTCAGATAATCTACCCACCTTGGCCTCCCAAAGTGCTGGGATTAAAGACATGAGCTTCTGCACCCGGCCTTGGGTTTTCTTCTGAGACAGGGTTTTGCTCTGTCACCCAGGCTGGAGTGCAGTGGTGCCGTCATGGCTCACTGCAGCCTCAAAGTCCTGAGTTCAAGTGATGTTCTTGCCTCAGCCTCCCAATGGGCTGGGACCTCAAGCATGAGCCACCACGCCTGGCCTGAAAGCAAGCTTTCTTATCCCTGTCACTGACCTTGATCAAGTCTAGTCAAATCGTCTGTGGCCTCCCAAGTGTCCCTCAGGAGTGATGCTTTGGATCGTCTGAGTCCTCCCACATGGAGAGCTCACTCACTGGGGTGCATTTCCCATTGGGAAAGCATGGTTATGGGAAGTTAATTCTTTTTTAAAAGAACAGGATTAGAGGTGCTTTCTGAGGTGTCCCCCTACCAAGCCGCGTGTTGAAGGCCTCGTAGTTCGTAGGGAGCACGGGTGACACTCGCCGCCGCTTTAGTTTCATCTTGAGCCCACACAGGGTGTCCAGCACCCAGGTCTCCTCAGGCTCAGGGGCGCGCTCCTTCTCTGTCTCCTCCTCCAGCTCCTCAGATTCATCCGACCAGTCCCTCTTCCTTTTCCGGCAAAGGAACCAAGGCGAACTGGGACCTTCCCAAGGAGATGAGTAAAGTAAGCAGGACACCGTGTAATGCTTCTGCAACTGATCACCTTAGACCCCGACCCCAAACCCCAATCCACTCTCCATCCTCCCCAGCCCCGCAGACTGTTGGCTTCTCCAAGCCATCTTTCCATCTTTCTCCCTTGCTGAACCCCATGTGTCTCTCCTTCTCCTCCCCATTCTTCCATCTGTCTGTCCTCAGAATGCTTCATTCCTTCCCTAGTCCCTGGATCTCTGACTCCCTCCTTTTTTTTTTCTGTTTTTTGGGACTAAGTCTTTCTCTGTTGCTCAGGCTGGAGTGTAGTGTTGCCATCTCGGCTCGCTGCAACCTCCGTCTCCCAGGTTCCAGTGATTCTGCTGCCTCAGCCCCCCAGGTATCTGGGATTACAGGTGCCCACCACAATTCCCAGCTCATTTTTGTATTTCTTGTAGAGACAGGATTTTACCATGTTGGCCAGGTTGTTCTCAAACTCAGCCTCATGTGATCCACCCGCCTTGGCCTCCCAAAGTGCTGGGATGACAGGTGTGAGCCACTGCGCCCGGCCCCCTTCCTTCTTCTTAGTCAGCCCTCTCCCATCTCTTCTTCCTCCAGTCCCCTCACCTGATGGTCCTGGCACTTCATCATCCACCACCTCCAGAAGGGAGTACCCCAAGGTGCTAGGCTGGGGGCTCCTCTCTTCAACCTGGGCCTGTGGTTGACGTCTAGCCATGATCTCTCCCAAACTCTGTTCCCTCCCACGGAACCTAGTCCCTGTTCTGTCCAAAGCCTTCTTCCAGAGTTAACTAGGACCCAGAAGAGTGCCTTCAGTATTCTCAAAGCTAGGGGGAATTCGGGAGTGGAGAACAGCTCTGAGAAGATGCTGTCATCCACCTGAGCTCCTAAGCACCAACACAGTTCAGTTCAGTCAGGAAGACTGAAATCTCCAATGTCACTGGTTATTCCCACCTGGCAGCCAGTTTGAAGAAAAACGTAAGTGGTGGGCACCGGGGCTCACGCCTGTAATCCCAACACTTTGGGAAGCGGAGAGAGCAGATCATGAGGTCAGGAGTTCAAGGCCATCCTGGTTACCACAGTGAAACCTCGTCTCTACTAAAATATAAAAAATTAGCCGGTGTGGTGTGACCCTGAGCTGTAATCTCAGCTACTCGGGACGCTGAGGCAGGATAATTGCTTACATCCAGAAGGTGGAGGTTGTAGTGGGCCAAGATCACGCCATTGCACTCCAGCCTGGGTGACAGGGCAAGACTCTGTCTCTAAAAAGCAAATGAAGTCAGCAAGAGACATTAAGTTTCAGAGGGTACAGCTGAAACTGCTTTCTGTTTTTTTTTTATTTTGTTTTTATTTTATTTTTATTTTTATTTGTTTTTTGGAGACGTAGTCTCACTTTGTCACCCAGGCTGGAATGCAGTGGCGCCAACTCGGCTCACTTGCAACCTCTGCCTCCTTGGCTCAAGTGATTCTCCTGCCTCAGCCTCCTGAGTAGCTGAGACTGCAGGCTTGTGCCACCACACCCATCTAATTGTTTATGTTGAGTAGAGACAGGGTTTCACCATGTTGGTCAGGCTGGTCACCAGCTCCTGACCTCAGGTGATCTACCCACCTTGGCCTCCCAATGTGCTGGGATCTCAGGCATGAGCCGCTGCGCCTGGCCGAAACCAAGTTTTCATCCCAATCACAGACCCTTATCAAGTCTAGCTGAGTCCTCTATGGCCTCCTAAGCATGCCTCATAAGTGATGCTTAGGAATGTCGAGTCCTCCCACGTGGAGCGCTCACCCACTGCAGGCCATATTTTTCCCATGTGAAAAGTATGGTTATGGGAAGCTTCTTTATTAAAAGAACAGGATTGGAGGTGCTCCCTGGGGTGTCCTCCTACCAAGCAGCGTGTTGAAGGCCTTGCAGTGCTCAGGGAGCACGGGTGACACTCGCCGTCGCTTTAGCTTCATCTTGAGCCCACACAGGGTGTCTAGCACCCAGGTCTCCTCAGGCTCAGGGGCGCGCTCCTTCTCTGTCTCCTCCTTGGGCGGCTCCTCAGATTGGTCCGACCACTCCCTCTTCCTGTTCCAGCAAAGGAACTTACTCGGGGTGCCGGGATCTACCCAAGGGACTGAGTAAAGAAAGCAGGCCACCGTGTAATTAATGCTTCTGCAACTGATCACCTTAGACCCGGACCCCAAACCCCAATCCACTCTCCATCGTCCCCAGCCCCGCAGACTATTGGCTTCTCCCTTGCTGAACCCCATGTGCCTCTCCTCCTCCTCCCCGTTCTTCCATCTGTCTGTCCTCAGAATGCTTCATTTCCTTCCCTGGTCACTGGGTCTCTGAGTCCCTGTGTGTTTGTTTATTTTTTGGGACACAGTCTTGCTTTGTCACTGAAGCTGGAGTGTAGTGGTGCCATCTCAGCTCCCTGCAACCTTCATCTCCTGGGTTCCAGTGATTCTCCTGCCTCCCAAGTAGCTGGGCTTACAGGTGCCCACCATAACACCTAGATCATTTTTGTACTTTTTGTGGAGACGGGGTTTCAATATGTTGGTCAGCCTGTCTCAAACTCCTGTTTTTAAGTGATCCGCCTGCCTCAGCCTCCCAGCGTGCTGGGATTACAGGTGTGAGCCACTGCACCCGGCCTGAGTCCCTCCTTTCTTCCCACACACCCTCCTCAGGAGCTTCTTCCTGACTTGCGGGCCCTTCCTTTTTTTTTGAAACAGGGTCTCAGTCTTTCACTCAGACTGGAGTGCATTGGTGTGATCTCGGCTCACTGCAACCTCAGCCTCCCAGGCTCAAGCGATGCTCATATCTCAGCCTCCGAAGGAGCTGGGATTACAGGCACGCACCACTACCTCCCAGCTAATGTTTGTGTTTTAGTAGAGACAAGGTTTCACCATATTGGCCAGGCTTGTCTCTGACTCCTGACCTCAGGTGATCCATCCAACCTCATCCTCCTATAATGCTGGTATTACAGGTGTGCGCCACTGTGCCCGGCCGCCTTCCTTCTTCTTAGTCAATCCCCTCCCATCTCTTCTGCCTCCAGTCCCCTCACCTGATGGTCCTGGCACTTCAACATCTATCACCTCCAGGAGGGAGCACCCCGAGGTGCTAGGCTGGGGGCTCCTCTCCTCAAGCTGGGGCTGCGGTTGACACCTGGCCATGATGTCTCCCAAACTCTGTCCCCTCCCACGGAACCTGGTGCCTGTTCTGTCCAAAGCCTTCTTCCACGCTCTGTTAGGACCCGTAGAAGTGCGTTCTCTAGTCTCAAGGCTGGGGAGAAGTCGGGAGTGGAGAACAGCTCTGAGAAGATGCTGTTGTGTACCTGGGTTTCCAAGCGCCCACGGAGTGCGGTCCAATCAGGAAGGTTGGAATCTCTGATGTCATCGGTCATTCCAACCTGGCTACCAGTTTGAAGAAAAACACATGTAACTGCCAGGCTGGTCTCTTGTCCTGGAGATCCAGGGTCAATAGTGTCTGGATCTCCTGGAGTCAGTGGTGTCCTGGGGTCAGTGGTGTCTCCTGCCACTGTCCCAACCTCAGACCATTGTCCAAAAGCATCTTCACGGTCTCCGCATCCCTCTCTTCCCTGTCCCAACTCACGCCTGTAATCCCAGCCCTTCCGGGAGACTCAGGCAGGCGGATCACGAGACCATCCAGGCCAAGATGATGAAACCCTGTCTCTACTAAAAATACAAAAATTAGCTGGGCATGGTGGTGTGCGCCTGTGGTCACAGCTACTTGGTCGGCTGTGGCAGGAGAATCACTTGAACCCGTGAGGCAGAGGTTGCAGTGAGCTGAGATCCCGCCACCACTGCACTCCAGTCTAGTGACAGAGTGAGACTCTGTCTCAAAAACAAACAAACAAACAAGCAAGGTTGTGTTAAAGATGTAGAGGACCTTTGTGACCTAACCAAGGATAAAGAAGCTTAGCAGCCTTCCGCCTGGCAGCACCAGCCTGAAATCCCAGCACTTGGAGGCCGAGGTGGGTGGATCACCTGAGGTCGGGAATTCGAGACCATCCTGGCAACATGGTGAAACTGTGTCTCTAGTAAAAATACAAAAAATTAGCTTGCTGTGGTGGTGGGACCCTGTAATCCCAGCTACTCGGGAGGCTGAGGGAGGAGAATCACTTGAACCTGGGAAGCAGAGGTTGTGGTGGGTCGAGATCGTGCCACCATTGCACTCCAGCCTTTGGCGGCAAGAGCAAAACTCCATCTCAAAAAAAAAAAGAAGAAATAAAAGTTTGGCAACTTCCTCGGACTCCCACCAAAAGCCAGATTCCCGCCAACACCCAGATGTCTGTGGTGACCTGTCGCCTCCTGACCTCAGCCCTCTCCTTGTTCCCCTTTCCCCAATATCAAAGGAAGCTTGAGATTCACGCCTTTTTTAAAAGTTTATTTTTATTTTTTTCTGGCTCTGTCACTCAGGCTAGCGTACAGTGGTGTGATCAAACGTCACTGCAACTTCTGCCTCCCAGACTCAAGTGATCCTCCTGCCTAAGCCTCCCGAGTAGCTGGGACCACAGGTGCACGCCACCCTATGCCCGGCTAGGTTTTGTTTTGTTTTGTTTTTGGTAGAGGCAGGGTTTCCCCATGTCGCCCAGGCTGGTCTCAGACTAATGGGCTCACATGATCCTCCCAGTTTGGCCTCCCAAAATGGTGGGATTACAGGCCTCCACACCTGGCCTCTATATCCATGCCTGTTTTTTTTTTTTTTGTTTGTTTGTTTGTTTGTTTGTTTTTTTGGTTTGTTTTGAGACGAAGTCTTGCTCTTTTTACCCAGGCTGGAGTACAGTGGCGCAGTGGCATGATCTCCACTCACTGCAACTTCCTCATCCCTGGTTCAAGCGATTCTCCTGCCTCGGCCTCCCAGGTAGCAGGGATTACAGGCGTGCGCCACCGTGTGTGGCTAATTTTTGTATCTCTAGTAGAGACACGGTGTCCCCATGTTGGCCAGGCTGCTCTCGAACTCTTAATCTCATGATCTGCCTGCCTGAGATTCATGCCTTTTAAAATGGTTATGTAGGATATCCACCTGTCATGTTCTTGGTTTGCTGGCTCTCCAAAATGAAATCACTTTTCTTTCCCTAGATTTCTTGGCTGCAGTGCAGTGAGCAGAATGATTTGGACTCGGTTCCACTCTGGCCCCACAGCACCCAGCATCCCTGCAGCAATGTGCTGAGATTCCGGGCAGGGAGGAAAGAGAATGCCCTTTTGACTCCAGGAGGCACCAGGGCGGGGTCAGGTGTTTCCCACACCATCCAGGTGGCAGTGACAGGTGCTGAATCTGGAAAGGTGAACAGCAGTCTTAACCTAACCATGACCTAGAATCTGAGTCTCTAAGGACAGACAAGAAAATGACATCAGTAAAAGGTTACCTAACTTGCCAGACACACAGACATTCCTTGCAAATGTATCCATGGAAATCTGTGCTTATCCCCAGGGAAAATGTACTACTGGATTATATGGGGTTTAATTTTTACCTATCTTTAAGAGGACGTACCTTTCAGGTGTGTTTGTTCATAGTATTTTACATTGTCATTTTCTTTTAAAAATCCTTTTGGGCTCGTAAGAATGGCATAATGGATCCGTCATTCATGTATTCTTTGAGAGTGCATTTTTACGGTAAAATATATTGTGCTTATTATCCCATCCGCTTTATTTGTTTATTCATTTAGAGGCAGAGTCTCCAAATACATAATAATTCAGGTCTCCATCGCATCACTCGAATCCACTGGCCAAATGCTCCCTGCTGGGGTCTCGTGGAGCCTCTCCCCAAGCCAGGGGCCTTCCTAGTGCAGCCGGAACATCTCTCCAAAGCAGCACAGGTCTGAACCCCCACTGCCCGCCTGAACAGCTTCCTTAGCTGATGCCTTTTGAAATCGAGGCCAGGCCCACAGTGCCAATTCCACCCTCTCTACAATCTCTCGGCAGCCAAACCGGCTTGCCATCCTGGTGTTTCCTGGCTTGGTTTCACCGCTCCGTCCAAATGCCCGCCACTCGACTTTGCATCTGTGTTTTCTGTCTGGGGTCCTGCACGCATGTGGTTCTGAAGGGAAGCACCCGTTCCTTGACATCAGTTCACCCCACAGCCTCTGTGATGCCTTCCCTCATCTTCCCACCTCTGCACGCCCACAGCTGGCCAGTGACATCCTATTATAATGTGACATTGGGATTAGGACATCTGCCCTGATTTCTCCCAGTCCCATTAGACTAGATGCCTGTAGAAGGCAGGATTTTGGCAAAATATATTCTATTTCTTTTATTCTGGGGGGACAGAGACTTGCTCTGTTTCCCAAGCTGGAGTGCAGTGGTGAGATCATAGCTCACTGCAGCCTCCATCTCCAAGGCTGGAGTGCAATGGTGCTATCTCACTGTAACCTCCACCTCCCAGGTTCAAGCGATTCTCCTGCCTTAGTAGCTGGGATTACAGGTGTGTGTCACTGCATCTGGCTAATTTTTTTTTTTTTTTTTGTATTTTTAGTAGAGACAGGATTTCACCATGTTGGCCAGGATGGTCTTGATCTCTTGACCTCAGGGCATCCACTCACCTCTGCCTTCCAAAGTGTTGAGATTACAGGCATGAGCCACTGTGCCTGGCCTGGAATATTATATATAGAAACATGTTTATTTAACTGTTACCAACTTCTTGGTTATTGCTATTTGGACTGCATGGATTTCCTTCCTTTGTTTTTCCCTTCCTCTTCTCCCTCCCTCCCTTCCTCCCTCCCTTCTTCCCAAAATTTAACTTTGTCTTATTTGTCTCTCTCTGTTGCCCGGGCTAGAGTGCTGTGGCACCATCTCAGTTCACTGCACCTCTGCCTCTCATGTTCAAGTGATTCTTGTGCCTCAGCCTCCAGATTAACTGGGACAATAAGCATACACCACAATGCCCAGCTAATTTTTGTATTTGTAGTAGAGACCGGGTTTTCCCATGTTTCCCAAGGTGGTCTCAAACTCATGGGCTCAAGCAATCTGCCTGCCTCAGCCTCCCAAAGTGGTGGAACTACAGATGTGAGCCACAGTGTCTGGCCCTCACTGTATGGATTTTCTAAAAAGAAAAAAAATTAAATTTGTCTTATTTGCCAAAAGGGAAATTGACCTTTTCTCCTCTCCTTTTTAAAGGGTATTTCTGGCCAGGTGCAGTGGTTCACACCTGTAATCCCAGCACTTTGGGAGGCCGAGGCGGGAGGACCACCTGAGGTCAGGAGTTCAAGACCAGCGTGGCCAACATGGTGAAACCCCATCTCTACTAAAAATACAAAAATTAGCTGGGCGTGGTGGCAGGCGCCTGTAATCGCAGCTACTCAGGAGGCTGAGACAGAAGGATTGCTTGAACCCAGGAGGCGGAGGTTGCAGTGAGCCGAGATCACACCATTGCACTCCAGCCTGGGAAACAAGAGTGAAATTTCATTTCAAAAAAAGAAAGAAGAAATAAATTACCCAGAACTCTACTTCCTGAAGAGGTGAGGTACAAGCAGAAGAAGAACATTGCATTTTATCGGAAAATGAAGCACATTTGGAAGACCACGCTTTGGAGTTCAACCTTCTTCATTACATTTAGGGTATTTTATACCACTTGAAACGTTATAGATAATTGATGCATGTTATGTTCTGTCTGGTGGAAATTGGTTGACTAACCCCAACCCCCACCAGAGAAAAGTTAGTTCTCACAGCATTTCTCCATTTACATAATCGTCTCAATATTCCTGATCTGCAAATATGTCTGTTTCTGAGATTCTCTCTCTCTTCTCTCTTTTTTTTTCTTTTCAAATGGGGTCTCGCTCTATGCCCCATGTTGGAGTTCAGTGATGACATCTTGGCTTAGCAGTTCAAGGAATTCTGCCTCAGCCTCCCAAGTAGCACGATGGCACAGAGCTTGGGACAGATCACATCAGACACGTGGGGCCCATCAGGGCCACCTTTGGCGGTGGGGGAAGTGTAAGAAGGGGCATTCACCCCCAGCCCTGTGTCAACCAGAGCCACCGCACCACACCCTGCCAGCCCAGGGCCACCTCCCACGTGGCTGCAGCTGTGGCGGGAAGGTCACGGTGGCCTAACCAGAAGCGTGGCGTCGTGGAGGCTTCTGGGAGTTGTAGTCCGTGTGTGTGTGTGTGTGTGTGTGTGTGTGTGTGTGTGTGTGGAGCGGGGCGGGGGCGTGGTCCCTTGCACAGAGTTTTTGAGGTGTGGGACTGCGATGTGGGCATTTC